AGTAGTAGTAGTAGTAGTAGTAGTAGTAGTAGTAGTAGTAGAGTAGTAGTAGTTATCATGTAGCACTAGTAGTAATAGTAGTAGTAGTAGTAGTAGTAGTAGTAGTAGTAGTAGTAGTAGTAGTAGTAGTAGTAGTAGAAGTAGTAGTAGTAGTAGTAGTAGTAATAGTAGTAGTAGTAGTAGTTGTTGTTGTTGTAGTAGTAACAGTAGTAGTAGTAGTAGTAGTAGTAGTAGTAGTAGTAGTACCATTATTAGTATTCGGCTTCTGGGCTTCGTCGACGTCAGGGCTCGTCCTCCACGACAAGGATCACGGAGGGAGGGTCTGGGCCGTCTTCGGCACGGGCTACCTTAGTGGGGCCTCGGGGCCGTGGAAGAGCGGCTCGCGATGAAAGACCAGTCCCTGAGAAAGGGTTCATACCTCCAGGGGGCACATTTGTAAGTTTGGGCGACAAAAACTACCCCCGGCGCCCTGGATGTGCGGGCGCGGGATTCTGGAAGATGGGGGCACCCCAGAGGTCGCGCGGAGGTATGCAAAGAGGCCACCAAGATAGCGACTTGGGTTGTGGACGCTGAAGGCTGCGCCACTCAACCGAAGTCCTCCAAAAAAACCCAACTGAACCGTTTCGATTCTAGGAGGTCAGGATCCTCTACCATCCTCTTTCCTCTCTCTCTCTCTCTCTCTATTTATGCTCGGGCCCCATATTATGTTTGCCCTGGGCACTCAGACTACTGCTGCTGCTGCACCAGATTGGGGAACACTTTTTGTCGCAGCGATGGCGCTCGCATACCGCGTTCGAAGCCCAAGCGGGGACTCTACCAGGGAGAAGTGGAAACAGACCAGAATCGAAATCCCAAGTACTCCGTCGACACTCGCAGGAATTCAAGCCTAATCGAGCTCCGAGGGGCTATTGAGCATCTATTCACCGATCCCTATCCCCGCTGGCATGGCCTTGGCCCCACTGGCCGACTTACCCCACTAGGTAGGGATATAAGCGGCTCCATTCGGATTTCGCGGGACCTATCCCCGCCTGGGTGACCTGGTGGGACTGAGATTCCATGGCCCTACGGGGATGTGGACCGGTTAGACGATTGCTGAGCTATGATGCCTCCCGCATGCGTCATGTCACGTGAGGCCCAGACCCGCCCCCAGTTCAGGAAGCTCGTCCCTTCCACAAGTTCTGGTCAGGGCACATGCGCGCTGCCCCCGTGGGGCGCTTCCTTGCAGGCGCTGGCGGCCGCGCTTCACGAGTTCATCCCGTCTGGTATGGTGCTGTCAACTGCTGGTCGAGGCCGCGCCGCATCGTCGCTGCGCGGAGGCTCCGCTACGCGGCACGCGCCGGTCGCGTGCCCCTCGTTGCCGACGTACGCAACTTGGCGCAAGTCTGCGGCCTTGTCCGCTCTGGGCCTGTTCAGCATCCTGACGTCGCTCACAACAGTGCTCTTGACCGCCCTTACTCTGTGGGTGAGAAACAGCCAGGCTACGTTGGTCGTCGCGCTGCTCCACCACCGGTGCCGCCGCCGTCTCATACCCCTCGGCTGCTTGCCATCTTGCACAAGGAGGCCTCGTCTGCCAGTTCGCCTACGCAGGTCTCGGCAACCCCGCTGCTGGACCCTGAGGCCCCTGCGCCTGGACCGCTCTTCGCGGAGATCGCGGTGCCAGACCGCGTCGTTTCCCTCGAAGTGCCGTCGTCGATTCGCACACCGCCCCGCCAAGACGAGGAGAGCACTGCCGAGCCCAGCGTTAGCAGTGCCAGCCTGGTTGCCGCCGAGCTCAAGCAGCGGACCAGTGTCATTGTGCATCGGCACGACCCCGCCACGCTTTGGATGGCGACCTCCCTGGTTGCCGAATACCAGTGCCAGGAGGATACGCTTCACCTCAAGATGTGCGGAGTGCAGCCGAGTCCGCTGCAATCGAGCCGACCTCCTGACTGAATGTAGTCGCATGGGAGCCTGGCCCCCCACCCGCTTGAGTGCATCCAGTTTGCGAGTCTGCGTCTCAGCAGGCTCATTCGTTGTGAGTCGCCCCTAGTCGCTCATAGTCTCCCTCCACTCTGGCGTTTTCAGATGAGCCCCTCGACATGTCACCGCCATTTCTGGCCCGCATCTTCGAGTGTGTGCGTGTGCTTTGGGCACTGCACGCGTGCCAGGTCAGCAGACTGGGTTAGCGCCAGCCCCTTGGGTGTTCGAGCCTTCCATGTCTTCTCTCGCATTTATGCTCAGGCACTGTCCTGCCTCCGTGCGGCGGCACAAGAGACCTGAATCCAGGTCCACAGTGCTGTCTGCGCACCGCCCAGCTGAGTGCGCCGAGCACGCCAAGCTGGCACCCGATCGGACAACAAACGACACTGCACGTGTGCTGTGGCAGTGCGCGGTTAGGCTCGGGCACCCGGGGCCCCTTCCCGTCGGTGGCGACGTGCGGTGGGGCGCTCCCGCGGGGGTCGCACCCTTCGCGCGGGCCTGGGCCTCCTCGGCATCGCCCTCGTGGCGCTCATCCTCCGCCATCGTCTATCCCTCCCTCCCTCCCTCGCCAGAAGATCCAACAAACAAAAAGAAAGATGAGCATAAGCTTTCGGCCCGTCCCTCGTGCGCGGAGCGAAGCCAGGAACGCCAGAGGTGCCGCCAGGGATGCGGGGAGGATGCTCCAGCGCCGACTTCCGAAAGTGTATGCTTGCGCAGCTCCGTGTCATGAACTATGCTCACCCTCATCATTCAGCCCCCTCCTCCCCATCATCAAACTCGTCACCACCCCCTAGATCCGCGTCGTCGTCATCATCAGCAGCATCATCTGCATCACCATCATCGTCATCTTAAGCATCATCATCAGCATCATCATCAGCGGCACCCTAATGATCAGCATCATCATCATCATCATCATCATCATCATCATCAGCATCATCATCATCATCATCATCATCATCATCATCGTCGTCCGCAGCAGCAGCACGACCACCACCACCATCACAACAATCACCATCACCATCACCATCACCATCCTCGGGCTCGTCCTCCCCCTCATCATCACCATCATCACCACCACCACCATCATCATCAGCATCGTCGTCATCGTCGTCACCGTCATTAACATTATCAGCATCAGTAGCAGTGTCAGCAGCATGGAACCATTATCATAGCCATGCTCATCATGCGCATCACCATCAGCAACATCGTCGCCAGCGGCAGAAGAATCGTATTCAAGATAATCACCGTCGTCGTCGCCGTCATCATGATCACCATCACCAGCACCATCGCCACCACCATCAGCAGCATCAGCATCAGCATCGGCATCAGCATCAGCATCATACCAAGCGTCATCATCATCATCATAATCAGCATCACCACAATCATCAGTTTCATAATCGGCAACATCATCGTCGTTGGTTCCATCACCAGCAGCACCATCATCAATAACCACCTGCCGAACATCATCATCGGCATCACCATCTTTGTCATCATCATCATCATCATCATCATCATCATCATCATCATCATCATCATCATCATCATCATCATCATCATCATCATCCGAAACGTCATCGGAATCATCAGCATCATCATCATCATCATCACCAACATCATTAGAATCATCACCATCCGCAGCACCAACACCATCATCGTCATCATCACCATCAGCATCAGCATCATCATCAGCCTCATCTTGATCCTCCTCAGCATCATCAACATCATCGTCATCCTCATCAGCATCATCATCATCAGCATCATCACCACCATCATCATCATCGTCATCGTCATTGCCATCGTCATCGCCATCGTCATCGTCATCGTCATCGCCATCGCTATCGTCATCGTCATCGTCATCGTCACCGTCCGTCGTCATCGCCACCGTCCGTCGTCGAGATCGCACGCGCGCCTGGGAAAGGTCGGCCTCGGTCAGCCCCTCGGCCTCGAGGGTGAGCTCCTCCCGCGGCGAGCAGGGAGCCACCCAGGCGCGCCTCTCCCCCGGGCCTTTTCGGGGGGAGGAAGAGGAGGAGGAGGAGGAGGAGGAGGAGGAGGAGGAGGAGGAGGAGGAGGAGGAGGAGGAGGAGGAGTGGTGATAGGGGGTGAACTAATTGGGGGGGTGCAGAAAAAAGGATCCACAGGCGGCCCTCCAAGTCCCTTGCGGGGCCAGCACGGGCCCAAAAGGGGACCAGAAGGGTCCCTCTAGGGCCCTTCTTCTCACCCCCCATGCCATGCAGGTCACCCCCCAATACCACCCGGCCGACCCTCCTCCCCCCCGAGCCCTGGCGCATCGGAAAACATGCCGCTGGCGTGCCTCATCGGTGTCGGCGACCCGGGGCATCTCTTCGGGGCACCGAGGCCACCATCAATAACCTGCTCAGGACGCAAGGGCAGTCCCAGGGAAGGGGCTGAGAGCTCCAGGGACGTCCCCCTGTCCCCTGTTGGAGGCGGATGAAGAGGAGGGGGGGCAGAAGGAGGAAGAGGAAGAGGAGGAAGAGGAGGAAGAGGAAAAGTCGGAGTGGGACGACGACCAGACGAGACGAGAGTGGAGCAGGAGACGGATGAAGAGGGAGGGGAAGAAGAGCAGCTCCTCTTCACCCCCCACGGCCAGACGATGTATTTTGCGAAGGCGGGCGAGGCAGCGGGCACCAGCAGAAGTGCTTGCAGGGGTCAGCGTCTGCGCAGTGTGGGCCGGCCGCGGGCGAGCGAGACGAGCAGATTTATCAACACATTCAAGAACGGGGAGAAGAAAGAACTTGGGCGGAACGGCGGCGGATGCCGTGCGGCCGCTCCTGTCTTGCTCGTTGCTTCCCGTTCTACAAATTGAACCGCAAATCCTCTTGACAACCCAGAACGGTACGTGCCAAAAAAACTCTAACACACACACACACACACACACACACACACACACACACACACACACACACACACACACACAATCTTCGATCCGAGGGTCACCCCAGACCCGCGGCGACTGCCGGGCCTAATCCAAAAATACCCAAGTGCCTCCGAAATGCGTGCAAACGTTCGCAAACGTTCGCAAACGTGTCTCGAAAGTCACCAAAAAGTGCCCAAAAGTGGCTCCCGGTCGCGAAGCCGCACGCTCCTGAGCGGGGCGGGGTGGGCTGTCGGGCCCCCTCTATCGGCGATGAACGGGCGATCGGGGGTCCATGCGCTCCCCCATTGAGCCTATCTCCCCTAACCTCGCCCCGGAATCACGCGCCCTTGCTCTACCCTGGAGGGAGGTCGGCAAGCCCATCACGTACCTCCAAGTCGGGCCTGTCCTCCTACAGGGGGATTCTGGATGAAAAATTAAACATACTTAGAAAATACCCCAAAAATTGTCAAGAATAGTCGAAAACTCGTCCCCAGACTACCTGTCGACTATTTTTGCGAATTCCCCCTGTAGAGAGACACGCCCGACTCAAACGTACCTCCGTGACCCCTCCAACGCCCCGTGGCGGCAAGGGTGTCGACCAAGGGGCCGACGGGCAGGCAGCGCCAGCCCGCGTGGCCCCGACGGCCCGAGAGCTGCAGAGAGAGAGGCCCACCGCCGGCGCACACGGGCGCCGGCGCTCTCTCTGCCCGGCGGCAGCGGCAGCGCGGCGAGCAGGTGGAGGCCTCCGGCCTCCCGGGCTGCGCCGAGACAGACCCGGCGGGAGGGTCGCGGCGCGTCGCTGGTGCGTCGGCCATGCGCCGGCGACGTCGGGGAGCGTCGGGCTGCAGGTCGCGCCGCGCCGCCGACGCGTCGGCGGGGCGACGGGATCCGATCCGAGCCTCCGTCTGCTCCGGCCCCACTCTCGCAGACGTCGTCGTGTACCGTGCCAGGCCAAGCCTGAGGAGCGTGGCTGGTCTCGGGCAGGGCCTGGGAGCCCCGAAGGGCTGAAACAAAAAGGCTACAGCATCTGAGTAAATAGTTACGGCAGCGTCAGACTTCTCATGGCGTGTCTCTGCAAAGCGTCCTCGTGCGGACTGCAGGCCCGTCGCAAGGGCCCCGCACATTCCAACCTAATTCCTGCACTCCAGCCCAACTCGGGCGGCATGGAAGAGGAAGGCCCAATTCCTGCACTCCAGGGAGAGGACTCTCCAGGGCCTTAGTAAAAAAACTACTCGGGACAGAAAACCAGCCCGTGGGGAGCGCGGTGCGCGAGGTGCGGAAGCCCACCCGGATGGGCCGCGCCAAGATGCACGGCAGAGCCACGCGAGCGTCGGGCCGCCTCGGGATCGCCAGGACACTGGAATCGAATCGGATCGGACCGGCCAGAACCAAGATCGAAAGGGATCTATCGGAACGAACCGGACCCTGGGCTGATGCCCGAGCCCCCCAGGCATCCGGCTGCTCCACTTCTTTCGATGCGCGGGCCTCGTAGGTCTGAACCACGTCCCCAGGGCCGGCGCGTTTCGGCCTGAGTCGTTTTTGACGCTCCCGAGGCCCGGCGAGGGCCCCTGGAGGCCGAAATCAGCCACAAACCGCTCGCTGCATGTTTGTTGGGAGCGCACTTCGCTACTCGCCCCTACGAGGCGTGAGGCGTGGAGGTCGCTGCGCCGCCGCGACGCACCTCTACAGGGAGGAGCGGCACCCTGGCCCAGGCCGCGGGGCGCGGCCAGGCCCTCGCGGCCCCACGGGTGGCACCAGCAAGTGAAGCGCGCGTGCCGTCGCGGAACCGAGGTGCGCCGTGGCATCCCACCGGCCCTGCAGGGCGTCCTCCTCCGATTGTTCCTCTATCCTCCCCCTCTTGGGGTACGACGTCTTACCCAGCCCTTCATTCCACTGCATTATCCTCCACATCCCTCATCAGGGCAGCTCGTCTGGACATCGCTTCTGGATGGGATGGTGTGGTTACGCGCAGTGTCTAGAATAGGAGCGGGGCGTTGGGGAACTGCGCCGCAGACGCCACGGAATCCGCCGACCCCCGCTTGCCAGGGATGACAAGGCGTGTGAAACATTTGGCTGTCTCCCTCTCTCTCTCTCTCTCCTTTTCCTCCTCCTCCTCCTCCACGGCCTAAAAGCGCGCTTGAGGGGAGGGGATGGGGGATCCTAGACGCACCCCCTGGGCCTCCGGGGCCTCCAAATCTGCACCCCGTGGCCTCCAGGATGTCCTGGATGCCATCTCGGCCGGCTCAAGCTGGGCTCCAACACGCCGAGGAGAGACCAAGAAGAATTCAGATGGCCTCAAGGCTGCCCACGTGGCCTCCTGCACGCCCCACGAAGGCTCTCAGAGGACCCCGAAGACAACCCCAAGAGACAAAAGCATCCCTGGTCCCTCGGAAAGCGTATATTTGTTGCATGTTCGCCTCTTCGGTCTCAACAGCGCCCAAGACTGCTCAAGAGGCCCCCAAGATCGCTCCAAGACAACCCAAGAAGCCCCCAAGAGGGCCAAGGGGGCCCCTAGAAGGGTACATACAAGAGTCGCCCAAGATGGCCCAATAGTTTTCCAATAGGGCCCTGCGAGCAGCCCTAGAGGGGCAACTCAACCTGACATGCCGAGACCTCCGCCCCAGCAGGGTTCTCGAGACCGCCAGCAGGCGCCCAAGATAGCCCGAAGCAGCACCAAGCAAAAAGACCAAAAGAGGCCCTCAACTGGTCCCCAAGAGGCCCCCAAAGGACTGCAAAAGGTCCCCAGGAGGCCCACAAGACCGTACCCGTGCACTTATTCATCTTCCAGGACGTCGTCGTCGTCGCCCTCCTCTTCATCACCACCGCGACTGTGATCTAGGCGGCACCGCATACGCGCTGCAACGCTCCCCAATAGACCCCCCACAAGACTAGAAATCCTCATCTTCCTCTCGTTTCCCATTTCCTCCTCAAGCTGCACCCTCCCCCAACTGGAAGGCTCACAAAAGAGACCCGGAACGCCCATCCTCGGCTCGCCCACGATCCATACCTCCAACCGGCCCATCGAGGAGGGGGAGGGAGGAGGAGGGAGGAGGAGGAGGGAGGGAGGAGGGAGGTAGGAGGAGGAGGAGGAGGAGGAGGAGGAGGAGGAGGAGGAGGAGGGCGGGGCCAGACAAAACCCAAACACTCCCAACCTGAGGCCCCCCAAGGCCCCACCCGTGGACGTCTTAACCGTTCAGTACTTCGTCCTCGTCTTCATCATCACCACCGCCGCCGTCCTCTGGGGCCCGATGGAATGGCGTAAGCCTCTTGGCACAAAGGCGGCCCCGCCGCGATCAACAATCAATCGGGGCATCATAACTGTCATCGCCATCCATACCATCGCCATCACCGTAATCCGCATATAGTTCAAAATCAGATGCGTAACCAGGCTCCTCCTCATCATCATCATCAGCAGCATCATCATCGGCATCATCATACCCAGTATCATCATCATCACCACCACCACCACCATCATCATCATCATCATCATCATCAACACCACCACTAATCATAATCGCCGTCCTCACCATAGCATCATTGTCGTTGTCGTCGCCGTTGTAGTCGTGATGGTGGTGGTGATGGTGAGCGTCGTTGACATCGCTGCAAGCTGCACCTGCGTAACTGGCCCCGAAGGCAACTCCTCCGAGACCACGTGGAGCACGTCGAGAAAGCTGAGGAATTGTCGGCCTGCAGCAATTTCTGCCACGTCCGTTTACGCAAGACAAGGTTTGAAACGGCAGCCCGGCGCAGTGCCCTAGTTGTGGGAAACGCACGCCTGGAGCCAGAGCAAAGAACAGAGCATCTGCTGGAAACAGGGGGACGTGCACTCTTGGTATTGGCTCGTCCTCTAGCGTCAAAACGCTCATTTACCGACGTGGACCCCAAACTGTAAGTTATTGCGCTGCTGATCTGCGAGATATATGGTGCAAGATATGTGAGGTCAGCGCTTGCAATATTCGCCACAGTGCCTCCGGGCACGGAGTGGGCGTGTCCTCAAGTCTTTTGCCCAATCCCTGGAGCCTCAGCCCTCAGTCGTGAGGACTCCGTTGGGAGCCCGGACCCACATGTCCTAAATCTTTTGAGGCTGGTCGCGTGCCCCGTGGTCTCTGGCGCGTCTCCCGGCGTGAAATGTTCGGGCCGAAGAGGGCCCGAAGACGGACCAAGAGGGCTCCAGGAGCCCCCCAACCCGGCCCAAGAGGGCCCCGAGTCGTCGAACGATCGGTTCCACGACGCCCACGATGGCCCACAGACGGCCCAAGAGGCCTCCAAGACGCCGCAAGAGGCCTCCAGAAGTCCCGGGAGGGTCCCAAGAGACCCAAATCACTGATTTCCATGAGGTTCCAAAAGAATTTTAGCGTTCTCGCCTTTTCGGCTTGCCGACACTCCAAGATGGCCCAACAGGCCCCCAAGACCACACCAAAACGGCCCAACAAGAGGCTTTCAAGAGAGCCCCAAAACGGCCCAAAAGCAGGAGGCCGCAAGAGGCCCCCAAGCGGCCCCCAAGCGGCCCCAAGAGGCCGCCTAATAGACCCAAAAGAAACCCCACGAGGCCCCGAAACGGCCCCCAAGAGGCCTCCAGACTGCCTCCAAGAGGACCCCGGACGGCCTCCCAAGAGATCCCAACGAACACCCATAGAGTTCGTACCTACAACCCACGCGCGGTGGCGGGGATGGGCCGAAGGCCGTCAGCTACATGGCGCAATCTACAATGCAGAATACACATGGTGCCAATCATTTGGTGTAGGCTATGTGGCGCACGCTTTGTGGTGCCCTCTACGTGGTGCAAGCTATGTGGTGCAAGCAGCGTAGTGCAGTCAACGCGGTACAGGCTACTTTGTGCAACCTACGTGGTGCAAAACGCATGGTGAAATACTTGTGGTGTAAGCCGTTCTGCCATATCCGTGGTGCAAGCTATGCGGCGCAAGCTCTGTGGTGCAGCCTACGCAGCGCAATGAACTTCGACCGTTTCGAAACCGTCAGCGCCACTGCTCGTGCAAACATCCCACCCACCTACCCACGACTTGTTTGGCAAAACCCATTCGGCCACGATTGCAATTCTCGCTTGGAGCTTTCTAGCGCGACTCTACAGCCGCGCTGGCGCGCGCGCGCGCAGAGCGACCAGCTGGTTTGGCATAACTGAAACAGCCGCGATGGCACTCACCGATGGGATATTTCCAGCGCGGCTCAAAGGCCGCGCTGGCACGCGGGCATTCCAGTGCGGGTCGGTGACACGGGCGGGCTCGACGTCATGATGATGACGGCAACGGCGGCAACGATGATGATGATGATGATGATGATGATGATAGCGGTGATGGCGATGGTGACGTTGAAGACGGCAAGGCCAATGACGGTGTCGATGCTGGTGACGACGACGACGATGATGATGCGCGTGTGTCAATGGTGGATGCGACTGGGTTGATGATGGCGGCACTGGCGGCGATTGACGAAGACGATGATGGCGGTGATGCGATGGTGCTGATGAGGGTGATGAACACGCGCGGAAAAAAACAACAGAAATCTGTCAGAATTCGTGTTGAAAACATGTGCTCTTTGCTGCATATGCGTCTGAAGGGCTATACCGTGAAATGATTCGACAACCATGGTGCTGGAAGGATTTCGGCACGCGTGCGTGGCGGCGCGCGCATGTGGCCCGCATGGTGTTATTCGATACGGATTCGTGCGTTGGGCGCATGCTAGATCCACGCGGATGCACCGCTTGTTGAGACGAGAATGCGGGTTCCGGACGAGATTGTGATTACCATATAGGTGCTCTATGATTTCAGCAAGTGCACACAGGCAGATAATCTGCAATACTGTAACGAATTAGCCTGGCAAAGGACCCAACCATATGCAGTTGTGAATAGTGCAACTGTGAATGCTGTCATCTGTGGAGCTCCTTATGGGGCCACGAAACGTGTGAGGGGTGAGCCGAAATAGGCCCAGGCGGGCGCATGCGAACGCAGCCACTGAGGCCCTCGGTGGAGCTCCCATCGGGCCTCGAAACGTGAGGGGTTGGCCGACATGGATGCGGCGGGCGCATATGAGCGCAGCCACCGGGGCATCCGTTGGAGCTCTCTCGTGGGGCCACGAAACGCTTGAGGGGTGTGCCGATATGGGTGAAGCGGGAGCACGCGAGCGCAGCCACTGGGGCCTTCGGTCGAGCTCCCCTTAAGGCCACGAAGCGTGAGGGGTGTGCCGATATGGGTGCGGCGGGCGCATGCGAGCGCAGCCACTGGGACCTTCGGTGGAGCTCCCTATGGGGCCACGAAACGTGTGATGGGTGTGCCGACATGGGTGTGCTGGGCGCATGCGAAGGCAGCCACTGGGGCCCTCGGTGGAGCTCCCTATAAGGCCACGAAACGTGTGAGGGGTGTGCCAAAATGGTTTACTGGTGCAGAGGGAAGAGGCAAGGAGGAGGAGGAGGAGGAGGAGGAGGAGAGAGGAGGGCGAGGAGGAAGGAAGGAAGGAAGGAACGCGGGGCGCTGTCTCTTCAAAACGCGGACCCAGTACTACAGAGTGGGGAAACAAAACTTGGGGGCGTATGTTGACACGCTTCCAAAATGTAAGTGTTTGGTGTGATTTCGAATACGTGGGCGCGCGCGTGTGTGGACTTCGTAGTGTGGTTTGCCAAGGTCTCTTGAGAAATTGTCTTCTGAGATCAACGACTGCGCGCGCACTGCACCCCTTGACCCAGATGACGGGGAGTCTCGATACCAGCTGGGCTTGGACGTTATGAGGTCATCCGGACATGAGCGATGAAGCAGAGCCGTGTGCAAATTGGAGCACCCCATGGGCAGAACCCTCAACCCCATGGGCAGAACCCTCAAAAGAGGCTGGTCGAGCCCTGCCTCTTTCCGGAGAATCCACGTGGGCGCACGAGGCGCCCACGAGGCGGCCACGGGTGGGCACCGGACGACACCTCGGCGCACCCCCCCCCTCCGGCGCGGGGCGCCCACGAGGCGCCCACGGGCGCCCGCCGACGGGGCACCAGCCGAAACCCTGGCATGCCCCTCCCTTGCGAGGCGGGGATTTCTCCATATCCACCGCCCGTGGGAACCTACGCCCCGGTGCCCCAGCGGGCGGTGGATCTGGATGTAGTTCGGCCCCCGGGGGCCCGAGAATGTCCACATCCACCGCCTGCCGAGGCTCCGAGAACGGACCCCCCAGGCGGTGGTCATGTAGAAACTCCCGCCCTGGATCCCCCTTCCTCCTGATAGAAGCAGGCGAGAGCCCCGCAGTGCAAGCGCCGCTCCTGGAAAAACGAGCCCACCGCTGGGCTCCCTCTGCGAGCTGGCCGCGGCCCGAGGCCGCCGCCCCCGCGCTGCGAGTGCCCGCCGCCCCCTCCCCGCGCGTGGCACGCGCGAGCTGCGCGGGCCAGGCGTGCAAGGCTTCGCACGCCTGCGCGCGCGAAGAGCGCGTGCGCAGGGACGGCCCGGCTTCGGGCGCCCGGGCCCTCTCAGCTCGATCCAGCCAGTAAACTACTGACTTTCCTGCGATGTGGCATTTTTGCGCAACGTCGGATATCAGGGGAGGGGGGGCCGTCGACCTGGAATCGGCGGTACGTCGCCGATTGATTCCGATGGCGAACCGAGACTTCCTGGGCGGGGTGGGCCATCAGGCCCCTCTCGGCGATGAGTGACGAGTGGGCGATTGGGGGTCGATGCATCCCCCCTGAGCCTATCCCCCCTGAGAACTGCGGGTAGCTAGCGTCAGAAACACGAAGCCGACAGAAAACGAAAAGCAGGAGTGGCGAGTGTGATGACTGGGGCACCAGGCCTGCAAAAAGCGTGCAACGCACGCAGGCCCAATCGAATTGGGGCCAGTCCGCGCTGTCGCAGTAGATTCTCCCCTCGCTGCCCTGGGTGTTTCTATCCTCCAATTGCACCGCCTGCTGACTGGCGTCTGAATGCCGTTGACCACTTGGCGCCCGCGGACTATAAAGTTCGTATCCGCCATCGCCTCGTGCGTCCTGGCAGTAAGGCCACCGACAGAAAAAAAACAACAACACAAAAAAAACAATACAAACAACAAAAAACATAAAAAGCATGATGTCCGAGCTGCAGGCAAGAGGTCGCACCATCCTGCTCCTAAGCTGAAGGTTGGCTGCTATCCTCCTCACACCATCCTCCTCCTGAGTTCAAGTCACTGTGGCCTGCCTGCACGTGCAAGTTCGAGCCACGCCTTCGTCTAGGCAGCCGGCGGATGAAAAATGCTCGCTGCACGCTGGCGAAGATAATTAGAAATCCTCCGCGTATAGCTGGCTGAGGGCAGCAAAGACCAGGATGCAGCAGAAGTACGTCAGCTTCAGCGCGATCGCTGCCGTGAGGCGGACCTCCCACACGTAGAAACCCGCAGCGCTGTAGCTGATGATCGGTCAACAAGACAGGCCATTAACATAAACATTCGGAGGTCCGCGCTGAATTCTCGAATCGGCGCTGGATACCCTCCCTGGCGCGCGGAGCGCGCCAGGGACGGCGCCCGAGGCGCCGCCAGGGGGCTCCAGCGCCGATCCGAGAAATCAGCGTGGGCCTCCGAACGTTTGCGCTGATGTCTTTCTGTGTTCCCCTGGATGAACTCCACAAGATAGTGCCTCTGGGCGTCGACGCACTCCCCGAAGTTCAGCGAGTTGACCATCGAGGGCATGCGCAGGCACCTTTCCGAGACCTCCGCGGCCTTGAAGAAGATGGGCACCACGCCTGATGGGCCCACTTTCCACCACCACTACCGTAGGTAGGAGGAGGAGGAGGAGGAGGAGGAGGAGGAGGAGTAGGAGGAGAGAGGAGGAGGAGTGAGGGAGAGAGCATGGGAGCATGAGTGAGAGAGGAGGAGGAGGAGGAGGAGGGAGGAGGAGGAGGAGAGGAGGAGGAGGAGAGGAGGG